AAGAAGTCAATCTTTCCCTATTTGCAGATGACATGACAGTATACTTGAGCAACCCCAAAGATTGCACCAAGGAACTGATACAGCTTATAAACATCTTCAGCAACATAGCAGGATACAAGATCAACTAAAAAAAAATCAGTAGCCCTCCTATATACAATGGACAAAGAAGCAGAGAAGGAAATCAGAGATACATCACCCTTTACTATAGCCACAAATGATATAAAATACCTTGTGGTAACACTAACCAAGCAAGTGAAGGACCTATATGACAAGAACTTTAAGTCCCTGAAAAAAGAAATTGAAGATGTCAGAAAATGGAAAGATCTCCCATGCTCATGGATAGGCAGGACTAACATAGTAAAAATGGCAATCTTACCAAAAGCAATCTACAGATTCAGTGCAATCCCCATCAAAATACCAACACAATTCTTCACAGACCTGGAAAGAATAATACTCAACTTCATATGGAAAAACAAAAAACCCAGGATAGCCAAAAGAATCCTGTACAATAACACAACCTCTGGAGGCATCACGATCCCTGACTTCAAGCTCTACTATAGAGCTACAGTAATAAAAACAGCTTGGTACTGGCATAAAAACCGACATGTGGACCAATGGAATCGAATTGAAGACCCTGACATTAATCTGCACACCTATGAACATATAATTTTTGACAAAGAAGCCAAAAGTGCACAATGGAAAAAAGAAAGCATCTTCAACAAATGGTGCTGGCAAAACTGGATATCAACATGTAGAAGGCTGAAAATAGATCCATATCTATCACTGTGCACAAAACTTAAGTCCAAGTGGATCAAGGACCTCAACATAAATCCAGCTACTCTGAACCTGCTAGAAGAGAAAGTAGGAAGTAGTCTTGAACGCATTGGCATAGGAGATCACTTCCTAAATAGAACACCAGTAGCACAGACACTGAGAGAAACAATCAATCAATGGGACCTCTTGAAACTGAGAAGCTTTTGTAGAGCAAAGGATACGGTCAAGAAGGCAAAGCGACAGCCTACAGAATGGGAAAAGATCTTCACCAACCCCACATCTGACAGAGGACTGATATCCAGAATATATAAGGAACACAAGAAATTAGACATCAAAATGCCCAACAGTCCAATTAAGAAATGGGCTATAGAACTAAACAGAGAATTCTCAACAAAGGAACCTCAAATGGCTGAAAGACATTTAAGGAATTGCTCAACATCCCTAATCATCAGGGAAATGCAAATCAAAACAATTCTGAGATACCACCTTACGCCTGTCAGAATGGCTAAGATCAAAAACACTGAAGACACCTTATGCTGGAGAGGATGTGGAGCTAGGGGAACTCTCCTCCACTGCTGGTGGGAATGCAAGCTTGTACAACCACTTTGGAAATCAATATGGCACTTTCTTAGAAAATTGGGAATCCATCTCCCCCAAGATCCAGCTATACCACTCTTAGGCATATACCCAAGGAATGCTCAACCACACCACAAGGGCACTTGTTCAGCTATGTTCATATCAGCATTGTTTGTAATAGCCAGAACCTGGAAACAACCTAGATGCCCTTCAACTGAAGAATGGATAAACAAAATGTGGTACATATACACAATTCAGCAGAGAAAAACAATGACATCATGAGGTTTGCAGACAAATGGATGGATCTAGAAAAAATCATCCTGAGGGAGGTAACAGACTCAGAAAGACAAACATGTTATGTACTCACTCATAGCAGGATACTAGATGTAGAACAAGGATGACTGGACTGCTACTCACATCACCAGGGAGGCTGTAGTGGGTAGCCATTCCAGCTTTGATCTGGAAGTTCCAACCCCCATTGAGACTTCGGCAACTGTCACGCTTACAAGGCGGGACCAAGGGAGGCGCCTGGGGACCCGAGATCTGGATTGGCGGGCGCTCTCTCCGTGCTGGGACCCTGGATAGTGGAGGTGGACCAAACAGAGCTCCAGAGAACACTGCTGGACTGTGATACACCTTCCCCAGACCCCGCGACCTAACTATCCCTTAATTTGTAAGTTACGCCATTAAATAAATCTCCTTTTAACTACATGGAGTGGCCTTAATAATTACACCAATAGAGGCTACCTGGAAAACACGACCCCAAGAAAGACACGGGGATCACCCAATGACATAGAAATGGAATGAGATCTACATGAACAGCCTGTACATGAGTGGGGGTAGTGAAGGGTGAGGGTCGAGGGAAAGAGAGCTTGGGGGAGCGGGAGATCCCAGCTGGATCAACAACAGAGAGGGAGAACAAGGAATTGGAGACCATGGTAAATGAAGACCACATGAGAATAGGAAGAAGCAAAGTGCTAGAGAGGCCCACAGAAATCCACAAAGATACCCCCACAACAGACTGCTGGCAATGGTTGAGAGACAGCCCGAACTGACCTACTCTGGTGATGGGATGGCCAAACACCCTAATTGTCGTGCTAGAAACCTCATCCAACTACTGAGGGATCTGGATGCAGAGATCCATGACTAGGCCCCGGGTGGATCTCTGGGAGTCCAATTAGCAAGAATGAGGAGGGTTTATATGAGCGAGAATTGTTGAGACCAAGGTTGGATAAAGCACAGGGACAAATAGCCAAACGAATGGAAACACATGAACTATGAACCAATGGCTGAGGGGTCACCAACTGGATCAGGCCCTCTGAGTGGGTGAGACAGTTGATTGACTTGATCTGTTTGGGAGGCATCCAGGCAGTGGGACCGGGTCCTGTGCTCATTGCATGAGTTGGCTGTTTGAAACCTGGGGCCTATGCAGGATCGCTTGGCTCGGCCTGGGAGGAGGGGACTGGACCTACCTGGACTGAGTCTACCAGGTTGATCTCAGTCTGCGGGGAAGGCTTTGTCCTGGAGGAGATGGGAATGAGGGGCGGGCTGGGAGGAAGGTGAGACGGGGCAGGAGGGGGGAGAACAAGGGAATCCGTGGCTGATATGTAGAACTGAATTGTATTGCAAAATAAAAATAAAAAAAAATCAGGACACAGTCACAAATCAAAGCAAAACAAAAAAAACAAAAAAACAAAAAGAAAAATAGGGTAGTAGTTAGTTATCTATAACAATCAAACTTATAGTCATGTTAGGTATGTTTTCAAGTTCTAAAAGAGATATATTTTGAATAGATAAATGATCTTCAAATGCTTCAAAAACCTACAGAACATGGCACTTAAATATATTAATAACATAAGATTTTCATGACAGTGAGACACGTCTGCTCCTCGCAGCAACAAATTACTTCCAAAAAGGATGATGGGTACTGAACAACCTCCATATGGAGTTTGCTTTTATTGTGACAAAGCCACTGGGCAAAAAACTGCCCTTGACTTAACTGCTGACAGTAAGCTGTCTATACTGGACAAACAGGACACAAAAGAAGACAATGTCAAACTTTGCCAAGACAAATTTCCTATTTCACAAAAAAGTCTGTCAGATATTCTAGGCCTGTAGGCCAAAGATGGGCGCTTCAACATTACAAAGGAATCTTGGGTGGCTGTCCAGGCAGCCAGGTGTTTCTGTCATTTCTATAGTTTTGGAAGTAGTTTGCTTTGCACTTCCTGTTTACTTAGGTAGTAGTATATCCTTCTTGGGTCTCTAGTAGAGGCAAAGACAAGATAGTTATAGTTACAGTTTTCCTTGTTACAAATTTCCTTGTTACTATATTTTTAAAAATAAAGTGTGTAAGATTGGGAGACATAGAAGCTTAAATTGTTTATCTAATAAAATGTTTTAAGGTCTAAAAAAATAGTTTTTGGATGGTAATACAAGTTATGATAGAAAATATTTTAGGCATAAGACTTTAAATTCATCAAGAAAAGATAGAGTGTTTTCTCCAAATTGCCAAATATATATATGAACTAAACACTGTAAGTGTAATTCTTACTTGATAATTGTTCTTATTGTATATAGTTTTACTATGTTAGAGTTAAAATCTTTCCTTTTTATTTAGACAAAAAGAGGTAAATGTTGTGGGATATTTGTACAGTGTGTGAAGGTGTATTGTTATGATTGGTGTAATAAAAACCTGAAAACCCCAAAGCTAGGCAGGAGGTAAATGTGGGATTTTCAGGGAGAGAAAGGATGGAGACACCAGGAGACATGGAGAGGAAACAAGAGGTCCGAGATGGAAGAGAGGTAATGTCACATGATAAAATGTAGATTAATAAAAATATGAGTTAATTTAAGTTGTGAGAGCTAGTGGGACAAGCCTAAGCTAAGAAAAATCCTATTACAATATGTGCTTAAATAAACAATGAATGTTTTGACCTCTATGCTATCTAAAACAGAACTTTATTCTACAGCTACCATCCTGGACATTCTGCTCATGAAGCACTTCAAAACTGTCTGGTTCAGAAAGGGAACTCTTGATTCAGAGTATTCTGCTGTTTCTACCACATTCCATATCCACCCTTTTGACCAGCACATCAAAAGGAAATATAGATACTTTATTTGCATATATGGTCAGCAAAAGAAACTACTTTTGCTATAAGCCATGTCTTTCAGTGGCTGCTCCTCTTGGTCGCATCTAGGTCCAGTTTCTAAAACTGGGTTCCTATCATGGCTATGGCAATCATTCTTTTACCACTAACACATTCTCTGATTTCTATAGAAAAATGACTGGCTTTTTCCACTATTCTCAAAGCCTGATGCTATCTTAAGAGCAGAAGATAAGGAAGTGGGGAGCAGCTGATTCTTTTCTGCTTTTGGCCATGGTCGTATACAGTCTCTAACTGATATGGTTACATTTGCTCTGGTTTTATTTGCTTGTTCATTTTCTTCAGTAGATAACAATAATGTTTGGTACTTTAGATGTCTAGAGTACACTTGAATAAAAATTTTCTGAATAATTCTATCTTAGGAGTAAAGTGAAAAAAATGTAAACTACAGGAGGATCTTTGAACATACTACAAAAACGAATCAATTAAGGAGTTTCTGTATAGAGTTGACAAGTCACTACTGTTAAAGACTTTATAAGTACTTACCAAGATCTTTAACAAGGGAGAGTGCTTCCCATGATATGACAGCTCCACCACCATCATCCAGGGCACCTTGCCCAACATCCCAGCTGTCCAGATGTCCACTGATCAGTACAACCTAGAATAGATAATAAAAAGAGGAAAACACTAAGCAAAATGACATCAAAGAAGATACAGCCAGGTATTTCAAACACAAAGACCAGAAGTCTTATATTTGTGTCTTAGAAGACACACATTGTTTCTAGTGGGGAACATGTACAACAGCATTGGTAAAATCCATTTTCAGAGTAATGAAAGTCCTCCACTAGTGTCTCTCCATCAATAATGTCATCTTGACTACTAAAGGCATCTGTTTTTTGATGAATGGTTTTTAAATTTTTTATTTTTATAGTTTAAAGTCAAAATTACATAAAAAGGAGCTCAAAACTTCAACCACATTTTTAATTGGTTATTGATTCTAGATCTTGATACCCAATAAACTTATCAAATTAAATTCAAATTTAAACATGGGAACAATAATTTATTTTTTTAAATGATTATATTCTTTAAATTATAAATTACTTTGGTGTCGAACAAATAAGACTTAAAACCTCCAATTGAACAGAACATTTAAGAAAGATTTCTATTTACATTAGGGTAAATATAGAGAAATGTGGAGATTATGCTATAAAGTTTAAATCACCACAAATTTAAATGATATTTAAAGAAATGTCAGTAATTCCCTTTCAGAAAGCACAAAGGTGATTTCACTAGAACTAAAATAAACCTTTCCTTCCATTGCTGGTTATAGAATCCAAGGCCTCATGAGTTTCAGAGAAGTGCTATACTGCCATGTCACACACCTAGCTGTTAGTGAATTAAAATGTATCTCCAACAAGCTGGAAACTGAATAAAATGGTGCTATGTCAACAAAGTATTAATACAGAAAATATCCTGATGCCCATGAACCACATAATATGCAACATGGATCAGATGGATTATAGAGCTGGTAACAACTTTAGGGAAACAGCTTTGTCAACTTAGAGTGGGCAACAGTTTCCTAATAGATGCAAAAATCACTAACTATGAAGAAAAAATAGTAAGTTAGACCCTGCAAGAGTCAAAAATATCTCCTCATCCAAGGAACCTTTAAGAGAGTGAAAAGGTATCTTACAGTTAAAAAAATCCATCTATAATAAAACCGAGGACTTATATACATGAGTTGTATAAAGAATTCCCATGGAACAATAGCAAACAGCCAATTGATAGAAAAATAGGCACAATACTTATATAGACAAGTCACATACTTACAAAAAAAATACACAAATTACCAATAACTATAGAAAAAAGTACCCAGGATCATTATCATCAAAGATATAAAAACTAAACCACATTAAGTCTAAAGCCACCAGATAGATAAAATGAAAAATGTCAAATAGTGGTCGGAAGGCAGCACAACCAGAATTCTTAAACATTGTTGGGGAGGGGGCATCCATACATCCACCCTGGAAAACTATCTTTCTGTGGACTGTGAACATACATACAGACTATGATCCAGAAATCTTACTCCTAGTTGTATGGTGTATCCAGAAGTGTGTGTGTGTGTGTGTGTGCGCGCGCGTGTGCGTGCGTGTGTGTGTGTGTGTGTGTGTGTGCATGTGCGTGTGTGTGTGTGTGTGTGTGTGTGTGTGCATGTGCGTGTGTGTGTGTGTGTGTGTGTGTGTGTGTGTGTGTGCTTTAACTATGACAGTTTTCATAACAGAATATTAATAGCCATGTCCTCCTCTGAAAAGGAAAATATCCAGATGTATATTAAAAGTACAATGAATAATTTATATTCATGAGTGGAGCACCACACAACAATAAGAATAAACAAATACAATGCATGATAAACAGTATAAAGAATAAAAGAAGCCATACACAAATAATATACTATGTATAACTCCATCTACATAAAGCATAAAGTGAAACAAAACAGGAAAGTAGTTCCCTTTGACAATGAGTATGAGAATGGAAGGAGGTACAAGGTGAAATTTTGTAAAGCTGTCATGCTCCTGATGTGGACACTGGTTATGCAGCTGTGCTTAACACATACACTTAGCATGTGTGAACTCTCCCTGACAATATTAAACTCAACAACGTTTGTAGAAGTTCAGCATATTAATATCGATGCATGGCAAGCTGTCAGAGAACCAAAGCTGAATTAATCTTGATGGTTAACATGAAAATTCACCATTACCTTAGGGATAGTTGGGACCTAAACTATTACTGTGACCTTTGCACCGCCTGCTCCATGAGCAGCTGAAAGATCTCCTGGTGACTTATAGCTGACCCAGCCTAGTATGACTTCATTGCAGTCATAAACAAGGATAATGCCCCAGACTAATAAATGGCCATATAATGAACCCAAATGGATTGTTTCTAAGGGGGAATTAAAAACAAAACAAAAACAAAGAAAAAGGAGCATGTTGCAATAGCAGAATCTTCTGACTGAGAAAGTGGTGTCATCCCAGAGAAGTCAGAGTGTTCTCTGTCGTACCCTCACAGCCCAGGGCTATTGTCCCAGTAAGGCTGCGGTAGACTAAAATGTCAAAACATGCTTTAATTAACTTTTTTCTTAATTCATTCAGGAGTAACCACATCAAGACAGCCATTGTTTTATATTTCTGACTTCTTCCACAATTATTGAGCTTATTTCATAACTTCATTTCTTTGTGTCTCTTACAAGCTTCCACTCCCCAGATAGCGATTACCACTTGCATTAGCAGTTATGACAGGAACGATGGCTTGGACTAGTAAAAAGTTAAATTATATACTATCTGATCAGACCTTTGGCACAGTGCTATAGAAGAAAATATATATCATTTTGGTTGTGAGAGTTTTAAAACATTTTTCAAATAATAAATTGTTGGGGGCCACAATCTGATAGTTATAAATTCAGTATCTATTTTAATAAGGTAACAACAAAATTACCTCTAATTTAGTAGCATTTAAAAAGCAAACTTGAAATTTTCTCATTGTAAAAGCTTCTACATACATGTAGAAAACAATAGTGAAAATTTCATTCAAAATGGTATCAGGCCAGTCTCTAAATCTCTATTGCAGCCTAGAAGATGACCATCCAGAAAGTATACAAACTCACAGGGCCAGGGTCAGGCACAGACGAACATTAGTTGTAATAAAGTTGGATCTGATTTAAGCAAGCAAAACAGAAACAGACTAACTACCCAGAGCAGCAGTAAACTCAAGGTTCACAAAATTCAGCACCTGGTAAAGGGGAATATCATCCCTTCATCATAATCCCTAAAACTAAACAGTTTCATCACCCACAGCTAAGAAAGAAACGTTGGGGTACCCCCCTTGTGTGCTGCCACCTTAAGTCAGGCAGAGCTCTAATCAGTTAGTTCCTCCCCTCAAATGGCCTTTCCATTAACTTCTCTTCTAAATTCATTAAACAGTAAGAGGCATTGAAAACAACAAAAAACGCAATAGCAGCCATGAAAAGACAATAGGAAGGAGAACGGGGAGTCCGGTGATCTGAAATGTGAGGTGTGTTCTTTGTGAAGCACACTTCAGCACACCTCTAGCAGCCACCAGAGGCTTGGGCCTGGGTGCAAAGCAGCCTGGGAATTAGACTAGTAAGGGTGTAAACCCTGGCAGGACAGCTGCAGCTCTGAATGGAGGAGGATGGAATTAAGGAAGCAGAACACAACCCCCAGGATATGCATCCTCTTCTGTTATTTGTTATGCCCTGAGACTCTGGATCCAAATCGATTTTCCTGATTAAAAGATGAATAAGAACACAAGCAAAAACATGGCCAAACAGAAAGAAAGAGTGGTCTGTGAAACAGTATATTTTTATGAAAATGCTCTAATATGAGCTACCAGAGAAAACACGATCTTCAGTTTTGATGCATGAGATGTCCTTCTACAATTTTATTGAACTCTCACTATGTGCTAGAGATACAGAAATAAACAAAGATCCTGTTGTAAATGAATCACATTCTGGAGCAGAAGACAAATATAAGTAAAGAAATATAATGCAAGTAGAGATTTAAATGTTAAAAGACAAAAGCGGGCATGATGGCACACATCTGTGATCTCAGTTCTGGAAGGCTCAGACAGGCAGATTGCCAGTTTGAGGCCAGTTGGGCCACACAGCAAGTCTATGTTATAAAACAATGAAGAGAAATGGAGAGGGGCAGAGAGCAGAGAAAACAGAAGAATAGTGTCAGGGGTTGGTCGGGAGAAAACTGGAAATGCTTTTGTGGAAATGAGTTCTCTCCCTAAGGAGATAGCATTTGAATATGGAGACTGCTGTGGTTTGAATAAAAATAGCCCCCATGGGTCCATAGGGACTGTCACTATTAGGAGGTGTGGCCTTGTTGGAGCGGGTGTGGTTTTGTTGGAGGAAGTGAATCACAGCTGGGTAGGCCTTGAGGTTTCAGATGCTTAGGCATGGTCAGTGTGTTACAGTCACATCCTGCTGCCTGTGGATCTAGATGTAGAAGTCTCAGCTACCTCTCCAGCACCAGGTCTGCCTGCATGCAACCATGCTTCCTACCATGACAGTAATGGACCAAACCTCTAAACTATAAGCCAGCCCCAAATACATGTTTTCCTTTATAAGAGTTGCCATTGTCTTGGTGTCTCTTTACAGCAATAGAACCCTAACTAAGACAGAGACCAACCAGTCTAAGCAGCTTGGAAACACATGCAGAAACTCTGAGTGGAAACAAGGGCAGCACATTTGAGGACTGATAAGAATCTGGTGTGACTAGCGGATGGCAACAGTAGTTGCTGCAAAGACATGGAAGCTATGGGAGACACACAAACATGCAAGCCACAGAGGGACATTCTATTTTGTTCTAACTGATAAGAAGCCATGAGGGAAACATAGCATTCCATTTATGTGCAACAACAGTCAATGCTAGTGGGTAAACAGTGATGAATGCAGAGTGAAGAATGAGGGGAACCAAGCCTATGTGCTGAAACTAATTCATCCAAAATCAGTTTATGAGGGAAAACTAGCCAGCCATAGGAGAATGTTGTCCCCTAACAATAAGAAAAGTAAAAATAATTCACAGAACTACAAAACCATAACTTCATTTGAACAGGAGGGCTAAATCTCAAGAGATG